ATTTAGATGTTTTTTTGTAAAATTTAAAAGAATAATTAAATAAATGTTACTACACCCAAAATCCTTTTTTTCATTGTGGTTGAGGTTTAGTTCCACCATGATTCATTTGCCAAATGGAAAAAGTTTCACTTCTTTAACAACCACATGAGAGTAAATGCCTGTTAGTTTTAGTTCAGGTTCAGCTTCAGTTCAGGTTCTATAAGGAGAGGAGAGGAGAGGGTCTAATTAATGACAGTGGAGGAGGCAAAACAGCATATTCTATACATTGTGGAACACGTCTTCATCGTCACGTCACCTCGGAGAGAAAAAGAGGCCTGTGCTAAAGGTGGCTCAGCATGAAACAGGAAGACAGTTTGTCTTTACAAAGCTGCAGCTGTGTTGTCATGCCACACAGACAAAAGGAAGGGGGGCTGACGAGGGGAGGGTCAAAACGATAAAGAGGAGAAAAATTATGCAGAGCTTTTTTTTTTAAAGTGTTTCTGAAAAAATGGTCAGCCTCCCAGGTTCTGCCTTTGTATGAGCTGACAAACAGTCTGCAGCAGCATAACGCAAACTCTTTTATAGAGCACCGGCTTGCCTGCAGGAAGACAAGCATTTATGCACGTTTGAATATTCTTACACACACACACACACACACACACACACACACACACACACACACACACACACACACACACACACACACACACGCACCTTCAATTCAGTCCATTTAGCCTGAGTACCACTCCAGCAGAGAAGACCTTTGTTGTCATGGTAACCGCATCCCAGCAGTAGAGAGGGTGAGGGGATGGACTGTTGAAGTGAAGTGAAAAAAGTTGAATTGAGGAGAGTGAGTGTGAAATGCAGAAGAGTGAGACAAAGTGCAGGTAGATGGAGGCTGTTACCGGAGGACGGAGGAACGGAGAGGAGGCTGGTTTTAGAACAGGTTCCTAAGTGAAGGAAACACATTCAGTCAGGTATGTTACTAGCATGAAGGCAGCATGTATTCACCTGCCTAAATATAAAGTCTGAGTCATGGTTCGCTGCTGCCTTAGGTTATAGTGTTGAATTAAACATTGTTACAAGGATTAGAAGAGAGACTCGTGCTCAGTGTTGTGGTCTTTTTGTCCAAAAGCTGCAGGTTTGAGCACAGGTTGTGTCAGAATTGGCAAAAAGAAGTTGTCAAATCATTCGTGTGACTTTATTCAGTACCACTTTACAATAAGGCTCCTCTTATAGATGACATTTAAATAGTTTATAGATAGGTTATTTCATCTGTAAACACTTTATAAATCATTAATAAGTGTTTTTTATTCATTAATTAAGGATGGGAAAGAGACAAAATTGTCCGGTTTCTTGCCAAATAGTGAGCCAAATCTGCTTTATTAGTAAGTAAGTAAGTGTTTAACATTGAACAAGTGACACAGATAGATAATTAGTCCATAAAAAGTGCTTTATAAATAATCTGTTTGTCCAGACAACAGGACTCTGCAAC